GCTTTTCACTGGGTTCCTGTGCCTGGGGCACCAATGTTCCTGGGGACAGCAGAACCAGTCTGGACACTGGAACACCCCCCCCCCCCCCCTGCCCTGGGCCTTGTTCCGGGCATTGCAGGGTGTGGTGAGGCCTCTCAGGTTCAGGTTCAGGTTCAGGTTCGGGGCTGGTTCGGGGAGGGGGGTGCCTTCCCCACTGCTTTAGGAGCTGTTGTCTGGGACACTGCAGCTCTGAGTTCAGACGCTCCCCTAGCAACTGAATGGGATGGGGGTGAGGCGCAGAGGGGCGTTCTGACCCTTTGAAGGGGGCCGGGTCTGGAACCCCTTTCCCAGGCTCCGGGTCCCTCCCACCTCCGGCCCAGGGCCCTCCCAGGGCGGGTGTGACCTTTAGTCACCTGCAGAAAGCCAAGTCACTGTGCCTCCTGCTGTGACTCCGCCTGGCTGGACCTCTGAGCGAGGACCGCCTGTTCCACTCTGTCCAGACGCCTCCAGCTGCCCCTTGGGGATGCTGGGCGCACCCCGGCGGCCTCTTGCCTGCTCTGGGACTAGGTAAGCTCAGAGGTCTTTGGGGTCCCACTGCCCCTTCCTGCACCTGCAACCCCCTGGGAGGTGCCCACCCCCAAAGCAGCAGGGCGGCAGGCGTGGCTTCTCCCAGGAGGGGCTGGGGGGATGTGAATTTCCCAGGCGGTCAGTCAGCCCTGCTTCCTGCAGCTGAGGGTCTCTTTTGGACCCCCACTGCCCCTAGGGCCTCAGGTGAGCCCACCAGGGCCACCAGGAGGTGGGGTGTCTGGGTTTGAAGCCCAGCCTTGCTGCTGACCCACTCCCTGGCCTCAGTTTCCCCTCCTAACTCTGATGGGGTGGGAGCCCCGCCTCTGGCTTTCATATCCTTTTAGTGAGTCTTTGAGAAAACCAGCGGGGAGGGGGTAGGAAATGGTAGCCCAGGCCACCAGCAGGGAGTCTTCCGCAGCTGTTCTGGGGACTGCAGCTTGGAGAGGGGGCGGGGCCAGGCCTGTGGGGTGGGGAGAGAGGCGGGGCCAGTGCAGCCCCTTCCCTCTCCACATCTACTCCTCTGCTCCTTGGGAGCCTCCTAGGGCCCTGGTGGAGGGACAGACAAGGAGCTACGGTGCCGCTCTCAGGGTCATTGCTATCTCACCCCAAGCCCTAAGGGAAATGACAATCATGGCCTCAAACCATGAGGCTGGACCCCAAGGCACCCAGTGGATTGCGGGCTGCGTGGGCCGAGCAGGGGGACACTGACCCTGCCCAGCCGCCACACCTCCAACACGTGCTGGGAACGGTCTGTCAGCAGCGATTGAGGGCACACGCTGCTGGCCCGCTTCCGAGCCACTTGGACCTCCCAGCATGGCTGCCTCCATCAGGAAGCCTGGACCCTGACCAGGCTGCCCACCAGGCCCCGGGGGGCCGTGTGTCCAGTCAGCCGTCAAGCCTGGGCAAGGGTGTGGACCATCTCTCACGCGAAGAGGGCGGGCCCCATTGGCACTTTGGCCAGACGGTCGTCCGACTCTCCAGGAGGGATGCTGTCTGGAGGGTGGCCAGGGAGAGCTCTGGGTGCTCAGGTTTCAGGCTCTCGGGTGGCGGTCCAGGTGCAGAGGGGCTGCTGTGGATCCCACGGTGGGGACATGCCATGGTGTCTGCTGGGCTCCCCACCCCAAGCCTGGGGGGCTGCACCTTCCGTGCTGGGGTGGGGCTCTGCAACCCTGAATGAGGGTCAGGGTCGTTGAGAGAGGGACCCAGCCTGTGTTCCCTTGCAGGGGCTTGTGGCCGACACCTGCTGTTTTGGAGGAACCTGGGTCACAGCCCTCACCTGCTGCCACAGCCAAGGGTACCTGCCTGGCTGGCAGGAAGTCCACAGGGACATGCTCAGCAGGCGAGCCCTCCCCTGCCCCGCTGCTGTCCCCATACCCCGAAACCCCCCCCCCCCCCAATGCAGCCAGTGTTTGCACCTCCTGCGTTCTACACTTGATTCTCTCCGCAGCCCTGGCCAGCGAGACCACTGAGGTTGCGATATCGGCCCTGCAGCTGCAGCAGGTGACTTTAGATGCACAGGGCCCCTCAGCCCCTTCTCAGGCACCTGTCATGCTGGGCTTGCACCCAAAGCTCCTGTCCCCTGCCTGTCCTCTCAGTGCAAGACTCTGGCCTGTGTCTGGGAGGATTCCCCGGAACCTGTGGGTGGCTGGCAGACAGACCTAGCCAGAGACGCGTGGGTGGTGGGAGGTCACCGAGAGCCCCCTCCGCTCTCCCCCCACCTCCCTCCCCAGGGGCGTGGGGGGGCAGGGCCGGGCCTGCTGCAGGTCCACCCTCCTGATTTTTCAGCAGGACAAGGAGGCCTGGTCGGGGAGTCTTGGAGAAGATTCTGTGACCGCAGGCTCCTGCAGGGTGTGAGCGGCAGCCATTCCAGCCAAGCCCTCTAGTCTCCAGGAGCCGCTTGGGGGGCTCCTGTCTGTTAACTGGCCGGTGAGTCCCAGCCCTGCTTGGTGATGCTGAGCCCCGTGCTGTGCAGTGGGCCCCCGGGAGGCAGAGGAGACTGTGCAGAAGTAGGGCAGGTAAGTCTTGTTGGGAGGGTCCTGTTGGAGATGGGGTCTTGCTAGATAGGGAACAGCGATGTGGGAGTGCAGAGATGGAACCTGGAGCTGCCGGCAGAGGGAAGGTTCTGGGCTAAGGTCTGGGGGCTGCAAGGAAGGAGACAACAGCCCTGTCATTCTGAGGCCTGATTGGACTGTGCCCCTGCAGGTGGGGTCGGCAAGCGCCCCCTGGCTGGCAGAGTCATGAAGAAGCCGTTCGTGGTGCTGGGCCTGCTGGCCGTGATCCTCGTGTTGGTCATCATCAGCCTCGCCATCTGGCTGCCCCCACCTCCAGGCAGCCAGAGCATGTCTACGCCAGGGCGGCCGTGGCCGCCGACGCCCCACGTTGCTCCGAGATTGGAGGTGAGTGGTGGTGTGGGGCGCTGGCTCCGGGCAGGGCTTGGGGCCAGCTGGGGATATGGCCCTGGCAAGGCTCTGGCCCCTCTGCTACTTGGTTTCCCCAGCCCTAAATAGACTGCCTGGATGAACAGCATCGTGCACGGGCATAGTAGCCTGGCCTTTCTCCTTGGGCCCTCTCGGTAGCTGGTGGTCAGGCAGAGTGGGCAGGGACCAGCAAGGCCCCTTTTCTCAGCTCTAAGAGGGTGGGGGCTTCAAAAAGTTCATGGAAAATGCACACCAGGAAAAAAAAAAAATTGTGGATTTAAAAAATGTTTTGCAGTGAAATACACATCTTTTAATTCTATTTTTCCACAAATGATTTGAAGACCCCTTGTGTCTGTCTCTATGGATAAACTTTTATTCTTTTTTTTTTTTTTAATTTATTTGAGAGGCAGAGTTACAGAGAGAGGAAGAGACAGAGAGAAAGGTCTTCCATCCAATGGTTCACTCCCCAATTGGCCACAATGGCCCAGTCTGGGCCAGGCTGAAGCCCGGAGCCTGGAACTCCGTCCAGGTCTCCCACATGGGTGGCAGGGGCCCAAGCACTTGGGCCATCTTCTGCTGCTTTCCCAGGTGCATTAGCAGGGAGCTGGGCTAGGGCTTGAATTGGCACTCTGATATGGGATGTTGGTGTTGTAAGCAGTGGCTTAACCCTTTGTGCCACAATGCTAGCCCCTAAGTCTTTTAAAAATAAAAGTTCTTGAGGCTGACACTGTGGTGTAGCAGGTGAAGCAGCCACCTGTGACACTGGCATCCCATATGGGCACTGGTTTGTGTCCCAGCTGCTCCACTTTCCTATCCAGCTCCCTGTAATGCACCTGGGAAAGCAGTGGAAGATTGCCTAAGTGCTTGGGTCCCTGCCACCCATGTGGGAGACCTGGATGGAGTTCCAGGCTCCAGGCTTCAGCCTGGCCCAGACCGGGCCATTGTGGCCATTTGAGGAGTGAACCAATGGATGGAATATTATCCCCCACCCCCGTTACTCTGCCCTTCAAATAAATAAATAAATCTTGAAAATAATAAACCTCTTCTGTCCTTTTCAGGGCAGGGAGGCAGGGGGAGGTGAGTGGCAGGTGCACCCAGGAGGCGGGGCCCCAGGGGTTTCTCACCAGCCCCTCCATGTCCCTGCAGGGATGCGGGACGGCGGCTCGGCAGTGGACGCGGCCATCGCGGCCCTGCTGTGCATGGGGCTCATGAACCCCCACAGCATGGCATTGGGGCGGCCTGTTCTTCACCATCTACAACAGCACCACGGTGAGTGGTGGGGCTGAGGCGGGGGGCGGGGCCAGTGCGTGTCCATCTGAGGCTGCGCTTGGCTGGGGGAGGCAGCTGAGCAGCCGCCAGCGCATGGGGTGGGCAGGACAGGGGCTGGGGCTCTTCCTGCCTGCCCACCTGCTTCTTCCTCCTAGGGAAGGCTGAGATCATCAACGCCCGTGAGGTGGCCCCGGCGCTGGCCTCTGCCAGCATGTTCAACAACTCCAAGCAGTCCCAGGAGGGTGAGCCTGGAGTGGGGCGGGGAGGGGAGTAGGAACTGGACCCGTGCAGGGCAGGCGGCAGCTTTGGAGCCTCTCCCACCCCTTCCTGGCCTCAGATGCCCCCCCACCATGACCACTCAAGTCTATCACCATGAGAAAAAGGACAGGAGCGTCCGTCTTTTCCTGCCAAAGCCTCCCCTCCAGGGCCACCAGCATGACAGGTGCCCTCCGTATCCGTGGGGCTGTGTCCGTGGATGTGGCCGACCACGGGTCAAAACATTGGGAGGGGGAAAATTGCACCTGGCTGAATGCTTGTCTTCGGTCCCTAAATGCAAACACAGCAGTCCCTAAACAACTATTTACATAGCATTAGGTCAGATTACAAGCAGAAGTCACCCACAGATGATTCAAAGTGTGTGGGAGGTGGGGTGGGTTCTATGGAAATTACAGAGCATTTTCTAGGAGGGACCCGAGCGTCAGTGGGGTTTGGTATCCTGGGGGGAGGGTGGGTCTTGCAGAGGGGGGAGGCGAGGAGGAATGTTTTGTTCTTTTATATATTATATATAATATATATATATTTGCTTGAGAGAGTTACAGAGAGTGGGGAGAGAGAGGTCTTCTATCCACTGGTTCACTCCCTAAATGGCTGCAATGGCTGGAACTGAGCCAATCCGAACCAGGCCAGGAGCCAGGAGCTCCTTCCAGGTCTCCCATGCAGGTACAGGGGCCCAAGGACTTGGGCCATCTTCCACTGCTTCCCAGGCCATAGCAGAGAGCTGGATCAAAGAGGAGCACTGGGACTCAAATCAGCACCCATATGGAATGCCAGAGCTGCAGGTGGCAGCTTTGCTCACTACGCCACAGCGCTGGCCCCCGAGCGCATTGTTCTAGCAGCTCTGACGTACCAGGGTCACGAGGAAGCAGATGCCCTGCTGGTGCTCTTCCCTGTGAGCCCCATGTTTAACAGTGGGGAGGATGTATGTTGATTGGTTTTACAGGTGGGGTGCTAAGGCCCCAGAGAGATTGTGCAAATTGGCTGAGGTCACACAGCTGGGAGGCAGTGAACCTGGGTTGGACCTAGGCTGTCTAAATCCTGTTATTTTTAAAAATTAGGGGGGGGGGGCTGGCGCTGTGGTGTAGAAGGTAAAGCCACCGTCTGCAGTGCTGACATCCCATATGGACGCCGGTTCGAATCCCGGCTGCTCCACTTCCGATCCAGCTCCCTGCTCATGGCCTGGGAGAACAGCAGAAGATGCCCAAGTGCTTAGGAGACCTCGTGGGAGACCTAGATGATTGCTCCTGGCTCCTGGCTTCAGCCTGGCCCACCCCTGCTGTCACGGCCATCTGGGAGTGAACCAGCAGATGGAAGACCTCTCTGTCTCTGTCTCTCTGTCTCTCGTAATTCTGGCTTTCAAATAAATAAATCTTTTAAAAAATTATTTATCTGAAAGAAAGAGAGAGAACTCCCTTTTTCTGGTTCACTTCCCAAATGCCCTCAATGGCCAGGCTGGGTCAGGCCCAAGTCGGGGGTGAGGAACTCCATCCACCAGGGAGGCGGGCCCCAGTTACTTTCAGCATCACTGCTCCCTCCTGGGGTCTGCATTAGCAGGCAGCCGGGGCCCCTTCCAGTGCTTTTAACAGGCTCCTCATTCATTCATTCACTCACTCACTGTAGGGCTAGCTCTGCCCAGCATGGAGTGCACCTTGCAAAATCAGATCTGGCAGCTGGTTTCCCACGGAATCCCGGGTTCCTCCAGGCACAGCGCTGGAAGGCAAACCCTGAGTCAGATAGGGAGGTTGGTCCAGAGAAGGGACTGGCCCGAGACTGGGGCTCATGTCTCAGTGCCAGCACAACAGAAAAGCCTGGGCCTGGGCTGGGGGTGGCTCTGAGCGCGAAGGGTGTGGCTGTGGCTCTGTAGGGCTGATACAGAACCCCAGACCCACAGGAACCTATGCATGCTACCATCTCCCCCGTCCTGTGCCCTGTTCTGCGTGCTGCCTGCCCAGCCCAGAGTGGACCTTAAACACCTCTGGTCCTTCCCAGCCTCACTGACACTGTCTGTGAAATGGGTCGGGGAATGTGTGCCCGCTAGTCTTCCCGCCGTGCACCTGCTGCGCGCGGCCACTAACGCAGTGTTCTGTCTCCCCAGGCGGGCTGTCGGTAGCAGTGCCCGGCGAGATCCGCGGCTACGAGCTGGCGCACCAGCGGCACGGCCGGCTGCCCTGGGCTCGGCTCTTCCAGCCCAGCATCCAGCTGGCTCGCTACGGCTTCCCGGTGGGCAAGGGGCTGGCGGCAGCGCTGATCCGAAGCCAGCCGTGGTCGAGGCGACACCTGCACTGTGGTGCGTCCGCGGGCAGGCACAGATGGGTCCCTTGTTCTAAGCCCTGTGCTGCTTGGAGGCGGGCCGTGTGTCTGAGTGATGCGCCACCCGCCTCTGACAGGCACTGGCTGTATTTGTCCTCGCTGGTGGGGAGGTGGTGCGGCCGGGTCTGCCCCATCTGCGGCCTCACGGGGGCGCCTCTGCCGCAGCGAGGTGTTCTGCCGCAATGGGAAGGTGCTCCAGCAAGGGGAGACCGTGATCATGGCGCGGCTGGCCGACACCTATGAGACGCTGGCCCGCGAGGGCGCCCAGGCCTTCTACAACGCAGCCTCACAGCCCAGATCGTTAAAGACATCCAGGAAGCTGTGAGCAAGGCGGCCTTGGGACCCCATGGCGAAGCCTCCCCAACCCTCCCTCCCAGACCCAGCCGCCTAAAACCGTGCAGCAGGTGGAAGCTGGAGCCAGGAGGACTTCCTGGAGGAAGTGGTGCCTGGGCTACACGTGATTTGGTCAAGCAGAGAGAGGAAGGACTCAGAGCAGGGGAAGAGACCCCGGAGAGAAAGGAGGATGGGGTGGCTTGGCCAGAGGAGTTGGAGGGGCCTGTGGGCGTGGCAGTGGCTGCTTTCTAGGGTCATCTTGTTAGTGTTTCACAGAGGCGGGGATAAGCTTATCACATTTTCTGCCGATGCTGAGGCCTGGGGCTGCTTCCCAGGGCCGGGGGAAGATGGTGGCCTACACTTAGGAGAGACCCTGCAGCCAGAGCGAGTAGAAGAGGCCAGTGAGCCGGGCAGGTGGAGGTTGGCAGCCATGTGTCTGGCCATGAGTGTTGAGCACCATCAGGGAGGAGAGAGGGGCTGGGAGACAGACCTGACAATAGATAGCTACCTACCTCAGGGCCTTTGCACTGCTGTGCCCGACAGGTGACCAGTGGGCAGGCCCTCCAGGGTGGCCAGGGCTCCCCTACCCCGCTTAGAGTGTACCCAGGCCTCCCCGCTCCCCTGGTGCAGCTCCGTCCCCCACCACGGGCCACCCTGGCCCTGGCCCCCACTGCTTGCAGGAGGCATCCACAGCCGACTTGAACAACTACCATCCGAGCTCATTGAGAACCCGCTCAGCATCCGCCTTGGCGACTCCGTGCTGTACATGCCCAGCGCCCCGCTCAGCGGGCCCGTGCTGGCCCTCATCCTCAAACATCCTCAAAGGTGAGCGGCCCCGCCCCCACCCCGGCAGAGGGAGGGGCCTGTGACACCCCCTCCCCCTCCCCCATTGGCCCGGCCTCACCACCTCACCGCCTAGCAACCTTTGGTTTGGGACACCTTCAGCCTGCTGAGCTCTCTCCGGGCCCCTGGCTCTGACCCCCAGGTACAACTTCTCCCCGCGAGCGTGGGACGCCCAAGCAGAAGGCACTGACGTACCACCGCATCGTGGAGGCCTTCCGGTTCGCCTACGCCAAAAGGACCCTCCTCGGGGACCCCAAGTTTGTGGATGTGACCAAGGTAAGGGGCGGAGGCCCATGGAGAATGAGCTCCCAAGACCACCGCAGCCTCATCCATTGCTGCAACAAGCTTTGCTTGCAGACCTACTGTGCTGGGATGGGCTCGGTGGCCCTTGGTCCTGGGTCTCTGCCCTGTGCTACGGGGGTGGCAGCTGGGGCAGACGGACTTGACATGGGTGATCGGTGCTCCCTTTCTGGCCGTGTTCCTACCTCAGGCCTTTGCTCATGCTATGCCCTTGGCCCAGGAATTCGGGAGTGGATGATGCTTGGGGCGGGGTAGAGGTGGGGAGTGGTTCCAGCTATCATGTCGGAGGCCCTCGTGCCAGGGTGCCTGGCATTCCAAGGTGGACTTGTGCCCTCCCTCCCCCCACGTTGACCTCTGACTCACCCGGGGAGGGCCCCCGCTGCCCAGCAGCCCCTCCCAGCGCCCAGATGGGTTCTGCGTCTCTGTCCCCTCCGGCCAGTGCTGCCTGGCGTCTTGTCTCTGTCCCCGGCTGTGCCTTCCCTCCCAGCCCTTGCACCCCCTTGCTGCTCGGAGCCACGCTTCCTGTTTACAAGGGCCATTTCCATGGGAAAGGCAGGCTGCTGTTCTAGAACCTTCCGGCTGCAGCCCATCCAGGCTGTTGCAGACAAAACGAACCCGAACCCCTGGCCCCGCTCCCGCTCTGCCACCTTGCTCTGTCCGTCTCCACCTGTCTCTGTCCACACACCTGCTCTTCCCCAGCTGGTGACAGTGGCCGATGTCACACTTCCGGCCGTATCACCTGCCGGAGCGAGCTAGGAGCGCTTCACACGCCCCCATCAGCGCGTCCCCGAGGGTCCCCGTGTCCTCTAGGTTCCAGGGGCCCCTCAAGTCCCCTGGCGATTCTGCCATGACGTCTCTCTGAGTCTCTCAGCCTGGAACAGACCTTTGGCTGTTCTGGGAGTTTCCAAGGACAAGGGCGTGGCTTTCCATTCCCTGGGCTTCCTTGAGTTGGTCACTGAGTCCCTGGGGTGTGGGTGGGGGGGCTCTGTGCTCAGCCTCCGGAGGCCCTCCTCTCCTCTCAGCCCTGAGGACCCCATGGCTTTGAGCAGCTGCCTGAGGACCAACGTCTCCGGCCCGACCTTGCCTGTGAACTCCACACCCCTGGGTCCTTGGGTGTGCGACAGGCGCCCGCCCCACCCCAGTGTTTCCCTCCCGAGGCTTCCACCATGATCTCTTGCGCGTCTGAGCCACTAGCAGGACCCTGTGGGAACGCCCCTGGCTCGCTCTCTTGGCTCCAAGCCCGGTTAGCTCAGAGCAGAAGTCAGTGTCCTTATAAGTCCCTGGCCTGCCTCCTCTAAACCCCTCTCCCTTCACCATTTCCTTCCCTGCCTGTCACTCACAGGCCTGTACTGTACCTCAGGGCTTTGCATTTAGCCTTAGTCTCATTCTGGTCTCCTGCAAATTCACCTCCTCTAGGAAGCCCTCTCTGATCCCCATCTCCACCCCTCCTTTCTGGCTTGAGGTTTGACAGCAGCTTACCTGCTTGGTCTGCTCTCTGCCACTGTGAGGGCAAGGATCTATGATATGGGGTGGGGCACCCCATGTGCCAGTTTAGCCCACCCCAGGTTTTTAAATGCATGCTATGAGAGATCTTCGAGAAGTTCATTGGAAAAGCGTATTAAGAAAAACCTATATGTGGATTTCAACTATGTTTGGGTCCCAAATACATTATCTTAAAAAAAAAAAAAGTCCTTTTTCACTTGAGAGATAGAGTTAGAGAGAGAGAGAGAGAGGTCTTCCATCTGCTGGTTCACTCCCCAGATGGCCACAATGGCCAGGGCTGGGCCAGACGGAAGCCAGGAGTCAAGAGCTTCTTCCGGGTCTCCCACGTGGGTGCAGGGGCCCAAGCACTTGGGTCATCTGCTGCTGCTTTCCCAGGTGCATTAGCGGGGAGCTGGTTGGGAAGCTGAGCAGCCAGGACTCGAACCAGCGCCCCTATGGGAGGCCAGTATAGCAGGCAGCGGCTTAACTTGTCAGACCACAAAGCTAACGCTAAACTCTACCTATAATTCAGTTTTCCCATGAGCCTTTTGAAGTCCCCTTTGTGACTGCATGAACGAATGGACCTCCCTGTGGCGGGTCTGGAGGCCTGAGGGACACAGGACATTTCCAAGTTGCTGGACGGTGACAGGGACAGACTGCTAAGGGGCCCTGTGCAGCCCTGGACCCTGGGGAGCCCCGAGGGTGCGGGGTGCACAGGAGGGCTGAGACGGGGAGCCACGGTCGGTTGGGGACTACCTGACGCCTGCTCGACAACCCTGTGCCCCCTCCCCGCCCTCCCTCCCCCCCACCTCCTCAGGCCAGCTCTGGGGTCTCGGCAGGTGATCCTCCAACATGAGCTCCGAGTTCTCGCCGCTCAGCTACGGGCCAAATCACCAACACCACTCACCAGACCGCCTACTACGAGCCGGAGTACTATACACGCCCGATGGCGGCTGGCACCGCCCACCTGTCCGTGGTCGATGAGGAAGGCAGTGCGTTGTCTGCCACCAGCACCATTAACCTCTAGTAGGACTGCTGGTGGGGGCTGGGCAGTGGGCCGGGGGCTTCCCCCACCCCCTTCCTTGAGGCCTCCCAGCTTGGAGGGGTGGGTAGGGCCAGGCTGGGCGGAGGTGGGGGTGGGGTCCCGCCCAGCTGCTCTGACCTGGTCCCCGCTTGTAGCTTCGGCTCCAAGATCCTCTCGCGAGTCAGCGGGATCCTCTTCAATGACGAGATGGACGACTTCAGCTCCCCCAACATCACCAACCAGTTTGGGGTGTCACCCTCGCCGGCCAATTTCATCCGGCCAGGTGCGGGGGTAGCGACGCGGGTCTGGGAAGGGGCTGGCAGCCTTTGTGCGCGGGCAGGCCGGGCGGGCAGCCGGGCGGCTGACTGCTGTCCCTGTCTCCTCCTCTGGGCCCCAGGGAAGCAGCCGCTCTCGTCCATGTGCCCCACGGTCGTTGTGGGCCCTGACGGTCAGGTGCAGATGGTGGTGGGCGCCGCGGGGGGCACGCAGATCACCACGGCCACCGCGCTGGTATGTGCCCCGCCCCGTCCGCCGGCCCTCCGCAGCCCCGCCCCCAGGCCGCGCTGACCACAGGCCCACACCTGTCCACCCTTCCCAGGCCATCATCCACAACCTGTGGTTTGGCTATGACGTGAAGCGGGCCGTGGAGGAGCCCCGGCTACATAATCAGCTCCTACCCAACACCACGACGCTGGAGAAGGACTTTGATCAGGTGGGCGGGGCCTGGGAGGCAGAGTCATGGGAGGGCAGGCAGGGCAGCCTGGCCTGGAGACCTGGGTCTCCCTGGGAGGTCAGGGAGTGGGCAAAGAGTGGTGTGTCCTTGTGCCTCCTGCCGGGGCCACCCTGAGCCCCTGCAGGATGAGGGCCGACACCTGCTCCAGTGGGTGCCTCCAAACTGCCCTTCCTGGTTACCTGGCTAGAAATGGCCCCACCTATGTCTTCAAGGCCCATGACCCCACAGGCGCCATCTGAGGCATTGGGGCCTCCTGAAGCCGCCTTCTCCCCCCCCCCCCCCAAGGCGGTGATCACAGACCTGAATGGCCGGGGCCACGAGACCCAGATCACGTCCGGGTTCATCGCTGTGGTGCAGGCCATCGTGCGCACGGCCAGCGGCTGGGCAGCTGCTTCCGACTCCAGGAAAGGTGGAGAACCAGCCGGCTACTGAGTGCCCAGGGAGACCGGTGGCCCAGGGACCAGATCCATGCCAGGCCCAGGAGTGGGACTTTGGGGACAGTGCCTCTCCTGTGAGCAGCAGAACAATGCAATAAATTGGGGGTGCTGTGCCAGGCTCTGGGCAGCCTCGCTGGCCCGGCCCCCACTCTCTGGGCCTCAGCGTCCTGTGTGTGCAATGGAGCCGTCTGGCAGGGGGAGAGCGGAAGGTGGGAGTTGGAGATCTTGGACCTGTGGGAGCTGGAGCAAGCCTTGGTGTTCTCAGGAGAGCATTGTCCACTTCCTCTCCCCTGAGTCAGGGGACCATGGGCCAAGCCGTCCTTTCCCTGGGCGGCGTAGTAACGCATCCTAGTATTGGCCACCAGGGGGCGCTGAGGCTTTGGCGTTGACTTGAACAGAGGGCGGCCAACTAATGCTGGGAACACAGGGACCTCCCGGTGGGTGTCCAGGCCCAGCCTGTCCTAGGATACCAGGAGGTGAAGCTGGGGTCTAAGGAGTGGCGATTGGGCAAGAGGCTGGAGCGAAACAGCTCGGTCAGAGCCAGTACCCGGGGTGCTTTCCAAGCCTAAGCCCGGAGTGGGACCCAAGCTTGTGATGGGTTCCAGAAAGGGGCCCCAGGCTGCCTGCCCAGGGGAAAGAGTCTGAGAGACAAGGGCCAGGCGCAGCTCCTTGGCCCCCACCCCCACCCCCACCCCCAGAGGGGTCTGCGGACCCCAGCCTCACACACTGCCACCACACGGCCCCACCGCGGAGGCCAGATCTGGGCGTTCCTTCGGGAGCATGGGAAATCCACGAGGGCCCCTGCAGGGGCTGGAGACCCCGGGGCACCTGGAGACCTGGGGTTTGCAGAGTGCACCTCCGGATCCGACCCTGGGGCCCTGCAGCGCTCATCTCTGGGGCTCCTCGGGATGAGATGGAGGCTGGGCTGTGGGCTATGGCTGCTTTCCACTCATTATTTGAGCCATGGCCCCATTTACAGAGCTGTAGACTGAGGCCCGGGTTGCACAGCAGCATCTGGGGTGGTGCTGGCCAGGAGGCTCCCGCTGGACAGATGGGAGGGTAGCCCCCCCACCCCCCAGGCTGAGGGCCTGAATTCCTCCCATAGTCCCCCCCCTAGCTGAGGACAGGCAGGGCCCAGCATGGGGCCTCAAATGACGGCTCATTCCCTCCCCTGGGCCTTTGTACCGTGGCCTCTGCCTCCCCAGGATGGCTGGGGAGAGGAGAGGGGATGTCCCACCCCCTGCCCTGCCTGTGGGTTCTGTCGCCTGTGGTGGGTGAGTGGGCTGGCCCAGCCCAGGAATGCACTTTGCTTCCAGGTTGAGCAATGTCACTGCGGCTTGGGGGTCGGTGGGGGGCGGGAGGAGACACCGTGGGAACAGGCTTTCCCGGAAGGCCCACCCCAGATGGCCTCTCTGGCGCAGGCTGGCTGAGGGCTCTGGGCACAGGGGCCTGGCAGCCTCTCTGGGTTGTGTCCGTCCCCAGGAAAAGAGGAATGGCTGGGGCGGGCAGGGCTGCAGTCCCTGGGGAGGTTGTATTTCCTGGACTGTGGAACTGGGTGTCCAGGGCTGGGCGCACAGCCTGTCTACGCTCCTACAGGGGTGACAAAAGTCAGCCTGCTCCCCTCTGCAGAGAGGGGGAGCTGAGGTCCCTCGGGGTCACCCACAGGGCTGCAGGCCCAGCCAGGCTGAGACTTGAACTCCTGTCCAGTCGCCCTCCCTCTGTCTCTGAGCCACGCCTACCTCCTACCCGAATTTGCTGCTCCCTTGGCCACCGCCACAATGAGAGAGGGTGGGAATTGGGATGCCGGCTCCCCTCTGCAGGAGTGAGGAGGGGCGTCTGGCCTTGCCTCCCTGGTCCAGCAGGGGGAGCTAGAGAGCAGCCCCCGTCTGCTTTCTGGAGTGGGTGCTCGGAGACAGCGGGGAGCGGGATCCTTGGGGTTCTGGCCACAGGCGCCAAGTGCACAGACTCGATGGCATGGGGTGATCCTGGCGCCAGCGGGCCAGCAGGACTGGCCGTGGGACGCCCGGGCAGTGAGGGAGTTAACCACAGCAGCTTGCTCCTCTCTACAAGGAAAAACTCCCCACGGCCGCCTGTTGCCTGGCTTCCAGCCAGGGCTGAGAGCAGGGGCTGAGAACTGGAAGTGCATGCGCTCGGCCAGCTCTGCTCTGCAGCGAGCACTCGGGGAGGCGGCAGCCCTGCCAGCCACCAGCGCTCCCTCCACCCTCCCACCTGCCTGCCTGCTGTCCATCTCTGAGCCTGTCTGTCCAGCCGCCTGTAAGTCCATCTCTTTCCAGGTGTCCATCTGTCCTCCCTGTCTTGCTGTCCTGCCTGTTGACCCACCTGCTACCTGTCCTTGTCCACCTGTCCGGTCATCTGTGAGCTCACCTGCACATCTCCCTCTCTGTTCACCTGTCTGTCTGTCCATCTGCTGGTGCATCTGCCCACCTGCCTCCCCTCTCCTGCTGAGCCACAGAGCCATGGCCTGGGGCCGCGGTGCCACCATCAGCCTCGTCCTGCTCGGGCTGGCCCTGGCGCTCGCCATCATTGTTCCAGCCGTGGTCCTTTCCCGCCACCGCGCCCGCTGCAGCCCCAAGGCTTTTGCCCACGCTGCGGTAGCTGCTGACTCCAAGGTCTGCTCCGACATTGGACGGTGAGTGAGAGGTAGGTGGAGGCTGGGTGGCCCTGTGCAGTGGGTGCTCTCTGGAGAGTTTGTGACCCATGATGAGGGTGTGGAGAAGGTGAGGATATGCATGTGGGGCTGTGTGGGTTTGGGCTCCTGCACCAGCCAAAGTTGGATGCAAGGAGATAGCCCCAGGGCCTTTGCACTGCCCAGGTGGCAGAGACGCCCATGAAGCAATGGCAGTGTTGGCAGAGGTGGTGGCTCTAGGGCTCTCTTTGCACCATGGGTGGGAAATGGAGATCCTAAGAGGGGTCACACCGCAGTGACCCAGCCTGACACGGAGGACTGGCACCGATGTGTTTGGCGAGGCTGTCCCAGTTCTCCAAGGCTGAGCCCTTCTGCTAGATGCTAGATGCGTGGCCAGCGGGATTCAGGGGCCTGGCAGTGCACATGCGCTGCCCTGGGCCGTGTCCCCTGCAGCCCGGGGCCGTGTCTGCATCACCTCTCAGACCTGGAAAGGCAGCCCTAGCCGATGTCCTGTTTCTCCAGCCTCCTTCCTAAATCAGGCCCAAGCCAAGTGACTGGTGTGTGGCCGGCTGGGGCAGCGGGGTGGAGAGGGACGACATCTGGCCTTTTCCAGGAAGTCCAGCCCATGGGAGGCCTCACTGCCCACAGCAGGGCGGGGACAGGGCAGGAAGCCCCTCCCTGCCTCCTGTCTCCCGCTGGGGCATGCATTCCCTTCCTGCCAACCCAGTCACTGCTTCCCAGAAGTTCTGCTTTAGAGGCCATTGTGAGAATGCTCAGTGCTTTTGTAAACCTGGAGGGAACACTCCTGAGGTGGGGGTGAGGGGGCGTGTGGCTGGGCACAGCAGACTCAATGTCCCCTTGTCGGCTTATTTATTTATTTATTTGTTTATTTGAAAGACCAAGAGAAAGCTACCTGCCATCTACTGAGCGATTCACTCCCCGAATGCTCACGACGCCCCGGGGTTGGACCAGGTCGAAGCCAGGAGCCAGGAACTGCCATTTGGGTTTCCCACATGGGTAGCAGCGGCCCAAGCACTTGAACCATCAGGTGCATTAGCGGGGAGCTGGGCTGGGTGGAGCAGCCAGGCCTGGGGCGTCCCGAGCAGCAGGTTAACCTGTGCTACTGCACCTGCCAACTCATTCACCTCCCATTCGTCCTCTCTTCACCCCAGCCTCCTGCCTGGATCCTCTGTACTCCTTCAGGGCTCACTGCCCCCTCCCTCAGGGCTGCTCCTAGCCCAGCCCTAGCTGAGGATGGCAGCTCAGGGGCAGGTGGGAGCCGGCTGCTGCTTGGTTTCCCCAGGGGATGACAGGGGTGTGGCATGGGCGGGGCGAGAGGACGGGAGCCCACCTGCCATCCAGGGACTGCCCCTGCCCTGTGGGCCAAGATGTGGTACAGTTGCAAAAGAGAAGGGGGGAGGAGAGGGCTTGGTGTGTGTATGTGTGGGGGGCGCGGTGTCCCCGAGCTGCCCACCAAAGCATGAGGGTCCCAGGAGTGGGGGGCTGCTGCCCTGTATCTCCCCGTAGGGCTAGCTGTGTCTCCATGCTGTGTGGCTGTGTGCGTGAGGCTCAGGGGCTGGGGTCTCCACCCCACATTCCTGCAGGATCCCATTTGGGGAAGGGAGCAGTTTTTGCCAATCCCTCTCTCTCTCTCTCTCTCTTCCCCTCTCCCTCTCTCTCCCTCTCTCTATCTCTTTCTGCTTCCTGTTCTTGTTTTAAGAAGAAGCCACGGGTGGGCGGTGGGCGGGAGCCTGGGGTCAGCCCCAGCAGCTGCAGAGCAAGGATTAGGAGCCCTGGGGCAAGGCTGCCTGGAGTCCGCCGGCAGGGTCCCTGGGGCACCCCCCCCCCACTTCCTGCCTTGGGCCCCTCTCTCTTTCTTCCCCTGCATTCTCCTCACCAGAGCCCAGCCTTCTTACAGCCTCTCCTCTCCTTGGGCCAGAGCCCCTGGCAGAGGGATCTTAAGGCATGGTGATATCGGTGATATTGGTATAATGCTCCCGTGCCAATGTGCACACCGAGTGTTCCCAGGCTCCAAGCAGGTTGCTTGTTGGCAACGTCTTTTGGGCTTTGTGACATCTGTCTGCCGAGGCCACTTGGACCTGTGTGCCCTGCCACACGGTCCTGGGCAGGAAGCTTCCCTGTCCCATCTGTGCAGGGAAAGGGGTCCCAGGGAGATCCCAGCTGGGGCTTGTTTCTCTTCCAGGGGTGGGGGGAGGGATCAGGGCTTCCCAGAGCCCTCCCCGCAGTGCCCCAACCACTCACTTTGGACCCCCGAGCTGCAGCACAGTGGAGAAGGTGGTTGGGGAGGGGCCAGCACACGGGGAGCAGATGTCTCGGGCATGGGGGTCTGGGCTGGCGCTGAGCTGCAGGCTGAGGGCACAGATGGGGCCCCTAGAGTCGGCTTTTGTCAGCTGCTCCATCCCCGTCTAGTGCCTGCAAGCGGCTCCCTTGGTGCAGGGCAGAGCAGAGCTGCACCTTGTGAGCCTCAGTTTGCCTCTCTGTGAGATGGGCTCATGTTGGTACCTCCCTCTGGATGAGAAGTGTGGCTCAGGGACTTGAGTCACAGGAGCCCAGTGTTACACAGCTGGGGACTGGGCCACACCCCTGTGTGTTTGTGGCATAGCACATGGAGTCATGATTTTTTTTTTTCTAAATTTTATTTATTTCAAAAGGCAGAGTGACAGAGAGAGGGAGAGACGGAGTTGCGATCGTATGGTTTCACGTCGCTACGGCTACAATAGCCGAGGCTGGGCCAGGAGCCTGGAACTCCATGGAGGCAGGGTGCAAGTACTTTGGGCCATCTTCAGCTCCTTTCTTCAGGTGCATTAGCAGGAAGCCGGGTCAGAAGTGGAGCAGCCGGGACTTGAACTGGGATGCCAGCGTTGCAGGGAGCAGCTTAGCTCATTCGCACCACCACGTGGCAAGTGCCGCCCCTATTTATTATTTTGTAATTGCAAGTATATAAAAAGGTATCTTCAAAAGTCTCCCTCTCGGGGCCAGCACTGTGGTGCTGCAGATTAAGCTGCTGCCTACGATGTGGCATCGCATGTGCCATACAGGCACAAGTTCCAGTCCTGGCTGCTCAGCTTCTGATCCAGCTCTCCTGGCTAATGCACCTGGGAAAGCAACAGAGGATGGCCCAAGTCCTTGGGCCCCTGCACCCACGTGGGAGACTCAGAGGAAGCACCTGGCTCCTGGCTTTGGTCTCCCCCAGCCTTAGCTGTTGCTAATTCGGAGAGTGAATCAGCACATAGAAGATTCTCTCTCTCTCTCTCTCTCTCTCTCTCTGTCTTTCACATAAAGAAATAAATCTTAAAAACAGAAAAGTTGGGGGCCGGTCCCATGGCTCACTTGGTTAATCCTCTGCCTGCAGCACTGGCATCCCTTATGGGTGCCGGGTTCTAGTCCCAGTTGCTCCTCTTCCAGGCCAGCTCTCTGCTGTGGCCCGGGAAGGCAGTGGAGGATGGCCCAAGTGCTTGGGCCCTGCACCCGCATGGGAGACCAGGAGGAAGCACTTGGCTCCTGGCTTCGGATCGGCGCAGTGCCTGCTGTAGCAGCCATTTGGGGAGTGAACCAACGGAAGGAAGACCTTTCTCTCTCTCTCTCACTGTCTATAAATCTACCTGTCAAAAACAAAATAAATAAATAAATAACAGAAAAGTCTTCCTCCCACTCATGTGAGTGGGTTTCTGCGCACTCTTTGCTAAAGGGAACATTTATATTAGTTTCTGGTTTCTTTTTCCTGTGTTTCATTCTTCTTTTTGAACATTTCTGTTTCTGTTTCTTTCCTCTCTGCTTTTCTGTTTTCATTTATTTGTACTTGGTGTTTCTGTGTTTCCTTTTGCAAAAGCAAGCAAGGGTATTACTTTCTCTTTTTGTTACAGTTTTTGATAACTAGAATGACTTGTAGTTTTGTTCCACTGGTTACTTTAATACTAATGTCTTTACACCAGGATACTTCAAAAAGTAGTTGGCCAGTTGAATTAAAAATATAAGTTTGTTTCAATGCAAAAAAAAAAAAAAACACCTTTATTTGAAAAGCAAAGTTTCAAAGAGAGAAAGAGAGACAGTGAACCATTCACTGGTTCACTCTCCTAATGGCCGCAATGGCTGGGGCTGGGTCAGATTGAAACCAGGAGCCAGGAGCTTCATCAGGGTCTCCCATGTGGGTACAGGGACCCAAGTGCTTGGGCCATCTTCTACTGCTTTCCCAGGTGCATTATTAGCAAGGAGCTGGATTGGAAATGGAGCAACCGGGACTTGAGCCATATTGCTTATATGGGATGCTAGTGTTGCAGATGGTTAGCCAGCTTTACCAAATGCCGGCCCCTATTTATTTTATTTGAGAGACAGACTGATGGACAGGGAGAAGCAGACAGACAGGCAGGCAGTGACAGAGAGCGTCCGTTCACCAATTCACCTCCAAATGCCTGGGAACTGGCAACTCCATCCAGGTCCCTTAAAAAAATTTTTTTTAAATTTATTTTCATTTTATTTGAAAGGGAGAGAGAGATCATTCATCTGCTAATTCACTCCCCAAATACCTTCAACATCTGAGCTGAGTCAGACCAAAAGCAGAAAACCACTGGCATCCCATATGGGCGCCGGTTCAAGTCCCGGCTGCTTCATTTTCCATCCAGCTCTCTACTAATGCTCCTGGGAAAAACACTGGAAGATGGCCTGTTTGTGTCCCTGCCACCCATATGGGAGACCTGGATGAAGCTCCTGGCTCCTGGCTTTGGCTTGGTCCAGCATTGGCTGTTGCAGCCATCTGGGGAGTGAACCAGTGGATGGAAGATCTCTCTCCTTCTCTCCCTCTCTCCCTCTCTCCCTCTCTCTCTCTGTCCCTCTCTCTCTCTCTGTAACTCTGACTTTATTTAAAGGAAGCCTGGGCCAGCACTGTGGCTCACTAGGCTAATCCTCCGCCTGCGGCGCCGGCATACCCGGTTCCAGTTCCAGTCAGGGCGCCAGATTCTGTCCCGGTTGCCCCTCTTCCAGGCCAGCTCTCTGCTGTGGCCCGGGAGTGCAGTGGAGGATGGCCCAAGTACTTGGGCCCTGCACCCCATGGGAGACCAGGAGAAGCACCTGGCTCCTGCCTTCGGATCAGCGCAGTGCGCCGGCTGCAGCGCACCAGCCGCGGCAGCCATTGGAGGGTGAACCAACGGCAAAAAGAAAACCTTTCTCTCTGTCTCTCTCTCTCACTATCAACTCTGCCTGTCAAAAAAAAAAAAAAAAAAAAAAAAAAAAAAAAAAAAAAAAAAAAGCTGGCATCAGGAGAGGAGCTGAGATTCTAACCCAAACCTCAGTGGGATGCAGGCATCCCAAGGGGCACCTCAACAGCTGGGTCAAACACCTGCCGTAAACTCACAGTTTTCATTCCCATTTTCCCATAAACTTTTCAAAGTATCATATAATTAGGAGATACTTATGAAACGTAACACGCTTTCTGCTACATTTTCTGCATATCTTCTGTTGGCTCCTCTGATAGTTAGTTTTAGGGTGATGTGGTGACATGGAAATCCTGCCCTTTGGGGCCAGCACTGTGGTTTGAGACCCAGCTGCCCCACTTCCTATCCAGTTCCTTGCTAATGAGCCTGGGAAAGTCACAGAAGATGGTCCCAGTGTTTGGGCCCCTGTAGCCGCAGGCAAGACCTGGATGAAGTTCTAGGCTCCCAGGTTTGACCTGGCCCAAATGGACTGGGCTTTGCAGCCGTCTTGGGAGTGAACCAGCAGGTAATGGCAGATCTCTTTCTCTCTCTCTCTGTCCCTCTGCCTTTCAAATAGATAAATCTAACAAAGCAGAGAGCAAAAGGATCAAGAAGCCAGAACAATGGCGACTCGAGGGTGAACTTTAATGGACCAGACCATGTGTTCACCAGACAGAGCTGGGTTTGCTGCTGTGTTGTAAATAAATTACACAATCATATCTACATTTTTGAACACATAGGAAATAATTTTTGTAAAGATCTCTCTCTCTGCCTTTCAAACAAAGCAAAAATCAATCAATAATTTTTAAAAATTCTGATTTTGTCTTTTTTTTTTTAATTTATTTGACAGGTAGAGTTATAGACAGTGAGAGAGAGAGACAGAGAGAAAGGTCTTCCTTCCGTTGGTTCACCCCCCAAATGGCCGCCGCAGCTGGAGCTGTGCAGATCCGTAGCCAGGAGCCAGGTGCTTCTTCTGGTCTCTCATGTGGGTGCAGGTGCCCAAGCACCTGGGCCATCCTCCACTGCCCTTCCAGGCTACAGCAGAGAGCTGGACTAGAAAAAGTGCAACCAGGACTACAACTGGCGCCCATATGGGATGCCGGCACTGCAGGCAGAGGACTAGCCAAGTCAGCCATGGCGCCGGCCCCTTGTCTTTGTTTTAAAGTCTGTGGTCCAGCAGTTTCACCATCTGCACATCCTATAGGGGGTTATCAGCTCATCTGTGGCTGCTTCCTGGCTTCAGACCTTCTGTCTTCACTTCTCCTTTGCTTGGTGCTGTGGTCTGGGTGGGATTCACACCCCAGGGTTGGACGCACAGTCCCCATCATGCCAGTGTCTAGAAGCGGGGGTAGGGGGAGACCTTTCAGAGTTGGGGCCCAGCGGGAAGTGATGAAGGCCTTGGGGACTCTGTCCTCTGAAGGGACTGGGGCCATTCTCCTGGGTCCCCAGTTGGTCCTGAGACAGGGGGTAAGAGTGGGCAGTCTCCTTCCCTCTCTCCAGCTTCCGGTTCAGCCAGGCGACCTCTCTCCCAGGCATGCACTTCCCCTAGCAAGTGACCCAGCCCGGGGGGCCCTCAGCAAAGGCCAGACCCAAGGGGCCACCCGACAGTGGTGCACTGGTTCAGTGCATTTGGTTCTTCCCGGCAGGGTGTGACTAAGAACTGCCAAAAACAGTATCAGACCTAGGCTTCTGCAACTCGGGTCCCCTTCATCCAGTCCAGCTGGGCCGCAGGGCAGGGAGCTCAGGCTCTGGTTGTCGACTGACTGCTGGAGTGAGCACCATCTGTGAACCGGGGGAGGCTAATAGCACCCCTCCCAGCTCCCCCTTCGGCCACTGAACTAGCAGATGGAAGATCTCTCTTTCTCTCTCTCCTTCTTTCTCTCTGTCACTCTGCCTTTCAAATACATACATTTTTTAAAATATTGAAGGACGGAGTCCCTCTCTGAGACAGCCGAGACAGAAAGCAGCTGTGTGGAGCCCAGGTCCTGGTGGGTGCTGAGTCCACCAGGGGACTTCACGAAGTGCATGGTTCACTCCTCAAATGACCACAATGGCCAGGGCTGGGCCAGGCTGAAGCTGGGAGCCAGGAGCTTCGTCCAGGTCTCCCACATGGTTTCAGGGGCGCAAGCACTTGGGCCATCTTCTGCTGCTTTCCCAGGCTCATTCGCGGGGAGGAATCAGAAGTGGAGCAGCCGGACTCAAACCAGCTCCCCTATGGGATGCCGGTACAGCAGGTGAAGGGTTAACCTTCTAAGCCACAGCGCTGGCCCCTCCCATGAGCTCCCTAAAGCACCCTCTTGAGTGAGTGGAGAGGCCCAGGCTGGGATCCAAGCTGGGGGTCATTAGCACAGAGCCTGCTTACTGGGGTGGGGGTGGGGAGACACAGAAGCACAAGGAGCAGGGACCAAGCCTGGGGAGGTCAGGGAGGTGGGCAGTGCAGAGGGTCCCAGAGCCACATGCAGAAAGGACCGGGGGGGGGGGGGGCGCTCAGCAGCATTGGGTACCACGTGAAGATGGGAAGTTGTTGGGTGGGGAGTCAAGGCACTGGGGGAGGGGGGAGAGGCCTTTGTGTGCTTTATACATTTGCATTAGTGCTATATTTAGCAGCCTTATTTCTTCCATGCCTGCTCCAAGATCACATGTGTGCGCAGGGTGCCCATGTGTGGGCCAGAACAGGGAGCCCAGGAGCTGGGGAGGGGTTTGGGTCCAGACTGAGACTGGTCTGATGGTGTCATGGGGGCTTGGGATCAGAGGTCCCACGGGGTGGGGGCAGAGAGCTGAGGGCCACCCCCGTTTTGGGCCTTGGTTCCCCTTCTGTAGCTGGGGTTTGAACACTGACTTCCTTAGGTACTGGCGAGGACTCCTGGGTGTGAGGGGAGAGGCAGTGCCATGTCCCCAGGGCAAGTGGGGAGTGCAGTCCTGGGTGGGCTCCTGGGCCTGCAGGGGTAGCCCAGGCCTGGTTCTGCCTGTTGCACATGAGCTGGTGCTGCAGAGAGCAGCTAGGGTATCTAAGCGGCAGAAGCACTTTGCAAGCGGAAAAACACCAGCTCTGTGGTAAAGCGTAGAGCAAATGGCATTGCCTTTGGCAAACTGTAGAGTGCCCTGGACCAGAGAGTGACTGCACTGGAGCGGGCGGCCTGATGGGGGCTGGCAGTGGCAGGTGGCTCACCAGGCTGTCGCTAGTCCCCAGTTGAGTGTCAGCTGAGCGAGCCCAGGCAGGGACAGGGGATGGGCGCCAGGTTGGTGACCCTGTGCCATGACCCCTAGGGCCATCCTGCAGCAACAGGGCTCACCTGTGGACGCCACCATCGCTGCTCTGGTCTGCACTGGCGTTGTCAACCCTCAGAGCATGGGCCTGGGCGGAGGGGTCGTGTTTACCATCTACAACGCAACGACAGGTGGGCCCACGGGTGGCGCCTGTGGGGGGCCGGGCTGGTGCAGCCACTGGAGAGCCCGTCCTGTCTGCCCGTGCCCCTTCCCAGTGCTTCTCCGTCCACCCCCTGCTCTGCCTTTCAATGCCCTGGCGATGGGTTCTGTCCTGAGTGTTAGCGCAGGGAGGGGAAACAGGCTTCCCACGGGCTGCAGCCGTTTGGGGGTGGGGGTGAGGGCTGGGGGGCATGGCCACTCACTCATCTGCCCCAACTCCAGGGAAAGTGGAGGTCATCAATGCCCGGGAGACGGTGCCAGCGGGCGGCGACCCCGACCTGCTGAGTGGCTGTGAGCAGGCACTGCCGCTGGGCACAGGTGAGCTCTGCGAGGCGTCCCTTGCCCCAGCCTGCCATGGCGGGTGGGGAGCCAATGCAGAGCCCCTCACCTGCTCGGGCTAGGCCCTCTGAGTTGGGGAGGGGTGATCCAAGGAGAGGGGGTCGGTGGAGGCAGGGCTGGTGCCATGCATGGGGCTCTTGGCACCAGTGGGTACGGAGTCCGTGGGCCTGGTGTGGATTTTTTTCTGTGGACTTCGCATGGATGGCACTGGGAGGGTGGGCAGGGTGGGCATGGCCATAGGCGGGCTCTAGGAGCCTTCTGCGGCCTCCATGGCTCGGGGGATGGGGATGCGGAGTGTGGGGGCAGCAGAGCTGAGGGCAGGTACTTGTGTGCGTGTGCGTGTGTGTGTGTGTGTGCGTGTGTGTGTGTGCAGGGTCCCAGTGGATCGGGGTCCCCGGGGAGCTCCGTGGCTACGCCGAGGCCCACCGCCGCCACGGCCGCCTGCCCTGGGCGCAGCTGTTCCAGCCCACCATCGCGCTGCTGCGTGGGGGTTACCGCGTGCCCCCTGTCCTCAGCCACTTCCTGCACAGTGACTTCCTGCGGCCCTCGCTCAACGCATCCTCCCTGAGGTGAGTGGTCCCCAGGGTGGCTCACCTTGGCCATGGCCCCAACCCGAGCTCTGCCACAGTCCCTCTTGGCACGGAGCAGGGGTCGGCGCCCTTGGCCAGTCCTTTTCTGTCCTGGTTCGTGGCAGAACCTGGCTCAGATAGGGTTCAGGCCAGGTGCCCATAGGATGGGACTCCAAGGACACGCATGAGGGCTGTGCACCTGCTCAGGCCGTGGCCTTATTCTCACCCTATCTAGGGTGGAAGGGGGGGCTCCCACTGCCCCCTTTGCCTGCCCTGCCAGACCCTCCCAAAGGTGTGGGGATGACAGGCCCTTGGTGGGCAGCACTGTAGCCAGGGCCAGGTATGGGGCAGGGGGCATCAGCTCCACCTGCTCCTAGAAATGCTGTCCCTCCCACTCCCCACCAGTGTCTGCCTCAGGAACCCCCCATGTCCTGCAAACCCTATGGGAACCCCGGCAGGAGTGTGAGTGTCCCTCCAGGACCCGGCCCCACCCTGAGGCTGCTCCCCACCCCCAGGCAGCTCTTCTTCAACGGGACAGAGCCCCTGCAGCCTCATGATCCCTTCCCGTGGCCTGCGTTGGCCGCCACCCTGGAGGTAGTCGCGGCCGAGGGCGCCGAGGCCTTCTACACGGGGAGGCTGGGCCGGATGTTGGTGGAAGATGTTGCCAAGCAAGGTAGTTGGGCAGGGGTCCCATTGCCCCACCCCGGGGGAGACAGAGCCAAGTTCTGGGTCGTGGGAGTTCAGAGCAGGTCTTGTAGGAGCACTGGCCACACCTCTGACACAGCCCAGGCCACTGCTGACCCCTGGACCTAGAGAGCGGGGGCCTGGGCAGCTGCATTGACCCCCTTCCTCCTTCCCTCCCCTTCCTCTCCTTGCACCTGCTTGCCTCTGCCCACGCCCGGTTCTCCGTGGCCCTAAACCTAACACCAGTGTGCATAGACCTGCCCTCAGTCCCCTGGGTTGATGTGGCTAGGGGGGGCAAGAGGAGCCCCCGCTGTATGGCCTGGGGCCAGGGGCTAATCCCTTTCTGCCTCAGTTTCCCCTCCCCATCTCACCCCCAGGAGGCCAGCTGACCATGCAGGATTTGGCTGCCTTTCAGCCGGAGGTGGTGGACGCCCTGCAGGTGCCCCTGGGGGACTTCACATTGTACTCGCCGCCACCGCCTGCAGGGGGCGCCATCCTTGGCTTCATCCTCAACGTGCTGAGAGGTGAGGGCCTCCAGGTCTCCCTTCCAGGGCCCTGCTGGGCTTGGGAGCTGTGAGCTCCAAGCCCAGCCCCCTACTCTACAAACTGGTTTAACAAACATGTGCCATAGAAGGCAGGGCTGGCTGGTGTGTTTCAGAGTTGGCCCCTGGCTGCACCCGACTCAGGGCTGTGGAAGGGGCTGATTCTTGTCCCCTTAGGGGACCCAGCCCCAGGGCCTGGGGCGGGGGCAGCTGGGAGACTCTGCAGATAGCTCCCCGTCAGGGCGTGAGTGTACAGTCCAGTGCCCAGGGCTGGGACTGCCCATGGCTGACAGTGCTTAAAACAATAGAAGCTCACTCTGGCACACTTTGGGAGGCCGAGGCCCAATGTCAAGGTGTCCCCAGGGCCGTGTTCCCTCCGAGGGTCTAAGGGAGCATCTGATCTTTGCCTCTTCCAGCTTTGGTGGCTGCCGGCATTCTTGGCTTGTGGCTGTATCACTCCTCTCCACCGCCATGGTCACACGATTGCTCTCCTTATCCCTGGGGGAGGGAACATTCCAAGCCCTCCGCCTCCCGACTGGACCAGATTTGGATAATACCAAACCCTACACAGATCACGGGGAGAGGAATCTTTGACAAGTTCGTAGAATTTGCATATTATGAGAACCAAAATAAATTTATCTTTTCATCCCACTTTTCCATGGACTTTTGGAAGTCCCCTCCTATGGATGTCCAATCAAGTTGGTTTTTTTTTTCTTTTTTAAAGATTTATTTGTTTACTTGAAAGTCAGAGTTAGAGAGAAGAAGAGGCAGAGCGAGAACGAGAGCGAGAGCGAGAGCGAGAGAGAGAGAGAGAGAGAATCTTCCAATTGATGGTTCACGCCCCAAATGGCTGCAACAGCCGGGGCTGGGTCAGGCTGAAGCCAAGAGCCAGGATCTTTTTCCGGGTCTCCCACGTGGGTGCAGGGACTCAAGCACTTGGGCCTTCTTCTACTGCTTTCCCAGATGCACTAGCAGGGAACAGGAAGTGGAGCAGCCGGGCTGTGAACCAGTGCCCATATGGGATGCTGGCACTGCAGGCTGGGGCTTTAACCCGCTGCGTCACAATGCTGCCTGTCAAGCGATAAAAGACATTTTCAAAAAGATATTTAAAAAAAAAAAAAAAGACACACATGATCACATTTAGGACCTGCCTGCAAGCTCCAAGACTGTTGTCCCCTCTCAAAATTCTCAGTGGAATACATCTGGCCACAGAAGGTGGTGTTTACCCTGGAGCCATGTGCATAGGATCTGGGGATTAGGACACAGCAGGGCGGGGGGCAACATGGAACCTACTACACAGGTGACTGCCCACATACGCCCTGCCCATCCCTTCCCACCAGGGTTCAACCTCTCAGCAGAGTTGCTGGCCAGGCCTGAAGGGATCGTGAGCATGTACCACCACATCGTGGAGACCCTCAAATTTGCTGGGGGGCAGAGGTGGCGGCTGTGGGACCCCCGCAGCCACCCAGAGGTACAGGTGAGTTTTCCCAGGGCTCTCCCCTGACCCTGGGGCTCAGCAGGTACAGGGAGGCTCGGGCATGGCAGAAGGAGGCAGGGGGATTGGTATCTGTACATAGCAGTGGTCCGAGGCCGGGGCGGGGGAGGGGCGGCATCAGGTCTGGGGGTCTGGAAGGGAAGCTGCTGCCTAGGCAAGGCTGGGGAGCAGGTGCACTGGTGACACTTTATCTTCAAGGTCCCGCAGGGGAGGGTGAGCAAGGCTGGAGGGGGTCCCCTTTGGCCACCAGACAGTGAAGAGACAAGAGAGGGCCCCCCCAAGGAGGCTGAGCCCCATCCTGCCCTCTGCTCTGAGCCCACCACCTGCCCACGCTGCCTTCCCCAGAATGCCTCCCAGGCCCTGCTCGGGGAGGAGCTGGCCCATCTCATCCGCCAGCAGATGGATGACCGCGGCGACCACCAGCTCAGCCATTACGGCCTGGCCGGGGCCGGGGACCACTGCATGGGCACCTCCCACGTGTCTGTACTGGCGGAGGACGGCAGTGCCGTGTCTGCCACCAGTACCATCAACACGCCGTGCGTGGGCCTGGGGCGGGCGGGCGGGGGATCCTCGCTGCTCTGCGCCCCGGGGCCTGACCGCCACCCCTCTCCTGCTTGGCTCCTCGGTGGCCTCCCCTCCCTTGGTCGCTCCCGGGGACAGCACCTCCATTTCTCTTCTGCCTCAGATGCCCCTGATGCAGGCAGGGGTGCAGGCAGATTTTGGGGGGGCCTCCTTTGGGTTGGTCTTGGGTGAGGACGGGCGGCTGGGAGGGCTGCGGTTGGAGCTGGGCTGCCTCCTGCCTGCAGCTTTGGAGCCATGGTCTACTCACCACGCACGGGAGTCCTCCTCAACAATGAACTCCTGGATCTATGCTGGAGGCGCCCACCAGGCTCCGGTGAACCCCCCGCACCCGGTGAGGACAGCACCCCCCTCAGCCCAGGTCCCACAGGGACCCCTGGGGGAGCAGAGCGGAGGCAGCCAGGGCTGGGTGCTGCAGAGCCGACCCCTGGGCGGGTCATCCACTTTGTGGTCGCTCCATGGCGGATGGAGCCCAGTGGGTGGCGCCCCTGGGGGGAGGGCGGGACAGGGAAGCCGTGGCTGACCTCTCCGGCCCCAGTTCCAGGCGAGCGGCCCCCTTCGTCCATGGTACCTTCCATCCTGATCAATACAGCCCGGGGGTCGAAGCTGGTGATTGGTGGGGCAGGGGGGGAGCTCATCATATCTGCCGTGGTCCAGGTGAGTCCGCAGGGGGAGGGTTGGAGGGAAAGGGAGGTCCTGGCACTGGGGTCCCCTCTCTGGGTGGCCCTGTCCTCCGATTTTCCTTGGGTGGGGGCTGGGATGTGAGGGTTGAGGGGGAAGTGGGGATCGCCACCTGCCTCCCTTCCACTCCGTATCTTCTTTCTCTCCCCTGCAGGCTGTTGTGAACAAACTGTGGCTTGGTTTTGACCTGGGAGCGGCCATTGCAGCTCCGATCCTGCACGTGAACAGCCAGGGCCGCGTAGAATATGAACCCAGCTTCAGCCAGGTGAGGCCACGGGCTGGGCCACGTCCCAGCTGCCCGCCTGGGGCAGTCCCCTGCCCTAGGCCACACTGCTGCTCCAAGCCCCCCGGGGAGGGACCCAGCTTCAGGCCAGGCAGGCTTTGTCTTTGCAGAGCTGAGCTGTCTCCTTGCACCCGCTGAGAGCAGGGCGTGGGCGATGCCGACTCCGGGCTCTGGCCTGGGCGTCTTGCTCAAGTTGACCAGGAGTGGGTGTTTCGAGCTGCGGCCTCACACACTCTCCATGATGGTGATTTGCTTCCTTGTGTGGCTTGGGATTCATTTTCGGGAGTTGCTTTGGTGCTGTGGGCGTCTGTAGTGATTTTGGGGATTTTGTCACGAGGTGCTGGGGCGTGGGTCGGTATCTCTTTTTCCAAGCATTTGTGCGACTCCCCTACAAAAAGTCCCTGGTGAATTCTCTGGGCGGATCAGCCCCTACCACACAGGGGACACACTCTTTGCTAGCACCCATTTAAAAGGCTGACAGTGTTTTCCAGGCTGCAAACTTTAAGCCTTGGGTCAGGTCAACCAGCTGGGGAATCAAGGGCCTCAAAGCTGTCTCTGGCAGTCCGGAGGCCACTTTCCTTGGCCGTTGGAACTCAGACAGTCACAGAGCTGGGGGCTTTAGTCTGGCCCGGGGTGGGGGAGGTGTGTGTGGTACAGACAGTTCCCGATTGCCAGTGACGCAGCTCGAGTTTGCCAAGTTGTGAAAGAAATATGCAGTCAATAGAAACCGTATTGTAGTTTATTTTTCTTTTTTAGAAATATTATTTATTGGGACTGGTGCTGTGGTACAGTAGGCTAAGCCTCCGCCTGCAGTGTCAGCATCCCTTATGGGCGCTGATTCAAGTCCCAGCTGCTCCACTTCCGATCCAGCTCTCTGCTATGGCCTGGGAAAGCAGTGGAAGATGGCCCAAGTCCTTGGGTCCCTGCACCCACATGGAGGCTCCTGGCTTTGGATCGACCCAGCTCTGGCTGGCCATTGCAGCCATTTGGGAAGTGAACCAGTAGATGGAAGACCTCTCTCTGTCTCTCCCTCTCTCTGCCTGTAACTAAGCCTCTCAAATAAGTAAAAATAAACAAAATCTTTAAAAGTATTATTTATTTGAGAGAGAGAGAGAGAGAGAGCTCTATTGGTTACTCCCCAAATACCAGGAGCTGGGAACTGCAGGTCTCCCGCATGGGTGGCATAAATCTAATCACTTGACCACCGCCTCCCCAGGTCTGCATGAGCAGGAAGCTGGAGTCAGGAGCTGGAGCCGGCCTTGACCCCAGGGACCCCATACAAGAGCTAAGCATTGTGCTAGATCAAATGCCTACCCAGACGCTGCACTTGAACGTGCATATTCAGCCGGCACCCACATAGCCGTTCTGTTGTTCCTGTCGGTGCAAGAGTCAATAAAACACATGAAATATTCAAGAGCTTACGCTAAAACAGGCTTTGTGCTAGGTGATTTTCCCTACTGGAAGTGCTCTGGGAACACTTAAGGTGGGCGAGGCTAAGCTCTGATGTTCAATGGGCTAGGACATTAAACTGCATTTTTAAAAGATTTATTTATTTATCTACTTATTTATTTGGAAGGCACAGTGACAGAGATAGAGGGAGATCTTTTTTTAATGCTATCCTTTTTTAAAACTTTTTTTTTTCTTTGACAGGCAGAGTGGACAGTGAGAGAGAGAGAGACAGAGAGAAAGGTCTTCCTTTGCCGTTGGTTCACCCTCCAATGGCCACCGCGCTGATCCGAAGGCAGGAGCCAGGTACTTCCTCCTGGTCTCCCATGGGATGCAGGGCCCAAGCACTTGGGCCATCCTCCACTGCACTCCCTGGCCACAGCAGAGAGCTGGCCTGGAAGAGGGGCAACTGGGACAGAATCTGGCGCCCCAACCGGGACTAGAACCCGGTGTGCCGGCGCCGCAAGGCGGAGGATTAGCCTGTTGAGCCACGGCGCCGGCCCTAAATAAATAATTTTTAAAAAGTTTTAAAAAAGGGGCCGCCGCCGCGGCTCAGTAGGCTAATCCTCCACCTTGCAGTGCTGGCACACCGGGTTCTAGTCCCGGTCGGGGCGCCGGATTCTGTCCCAGTTGCCCCTCTTCCAGGCCAGCTCTCTGCTGTGGCCAGGGAGTGCAGTGGAGGATGGCCCAGGTCCTTGGGCCCTGCACCCCATGGGAGACCAGGAGAGGTACCTGGCTCCTGCCTTCAGATCAGTGCAGTGCGCCGGCTGCAGTGCGCCGGCGGCGGCAGCCATTGGAGGGTGAACCAACGGCAAAAGGAAGACCTTTCTCTCTGTCTCTCTCTCTCTCACTGTCCACTCTGACTGTCAAAAATAAAAATAATAATAATAAAATTATTTATTTATTTAAAAGATAGAGAAAGAGAAACAGAGACAGAGAGAGAGAGAGAAACCTATCTGCTGGTTCACTCCCCGAATGGCCACAATGGCCAGAGCTGGGCTGATCTGAAGCCAGGAGCCAAGAGCTTTTTCCCAGTCTCCCATGTGGGTGCAAGGGCCTGAGGACTTGGCCATCTTCCTCTGCCTTCCCAGGTGCATGCATAGGGGCTGGATTGGAAGTGGAGCAGGCAGAACATGACCTGGCACCCATGTGGGATGCTGGTGCCATAGCTGGCGGCTTTTCCCGCTACACCACAGCGCCAGTGTGGGGAGCAAACCGGACTAGACTGAGTTACTGGAATTAAGACTTATTCTATGCATCTGCTCTCCCACAATATGGCGCTGGGAGAGAAGTAAACAGCTTCCGCACAGCTGCCTCCAGTTCAACTAATAAACTGTAGGACTTGCTATTGATTGGAGGAGAGCAGCGTACTCGGCGTGTGGGCAGCCGAGTTAGGATTGGCGGAGGAGGACTATAAAGGAGGAGAGAGACGGCATGCACCAGGAACATCTATGGGGAACATCTAAGGGGAACATCTAGCTGAAGGAACACCTGTGCAGCCCCCGAGACGAGCCGGCCGGCGGTGTGCCGCTCCCCTGCGGAAGTGGGGAATGTGGCCAGGGGGAACTGCCCTTCCACGGAGGTGGAAGGGATAGTAGCCAACCCGGGAAGAACCAGCAGCAAACCCGGGGAGGGCCGAGCAGACGAAAGAACAGCGCAGGGTCCTGTGTCGTTCCTCCATGAAGACGGGGAGCGACATAATGGTGCCGTGACTCGGATAGGAAACCTAGCTCGGAATAGGAAACTTAGGACGGATAGGAAACTTAGGAGGGAAGAAACGGGAAGAACTGGGAAATTACCGGAGAGAGAGACTAGCAAACAGCCTAGGGAAAAGCCGGAGGAAAAGGGTGCCGGAAGAAGCTATTGAAAGCCTAGGCATAGACTCAGATACGGACTACGGGGGGAAGCTGGGAGAAATCTCTAAGGTCGAAAGCGAAAGTGAACGCTAGAACAAACAGACTCGGACGCGGACTGTGGGGAGAGGCCAGGAGAAATGAGGGAGGAGTATTGTTGGAGGAAAGCTTGGGGAAACATACCGGGTAGAGAAAAGTGTTAGGGAAATTGAAGCCGCGGGGGGCAGGCCAAGGCGGACACGAAAGCCACTTTGGGATTCTCAAGTTAGCCCGGGAATAGGGGGCGAAAAGTTGAAACCAGAAGCTGAAACGTAAGCCAGATTGGGATCCGTCTGATCAGCCCGGGGAGCAAAGGACGGGAAGCCAAATTGTGGGGCGGAGACGTATGCTGGGTTGAATTCGCCAGGCTAGCCCGGGGAACTTAGATTGAATGCTAGTGGCGGACACGTAAGCTACGCTGTGTTACTCGCGGAAGCCGCCGCGTGCAGAGAGAGCACGGGGCGTGAATAGATAGGGAACAGGGCTGGCGCGAGGCCGTGGTGCAGACGCGAAGGGCGTGGAGACCGCGGAGCGCGCGCGAAGCCAAGCCGCGCAAAGCCGGGAAGCTGCACAGATGAAAGAGGCGCGGGCTGAAGCGGCTCAGCTGGGAAGCCGCTGCCGAGAAGTAGCCTCGGGGCGGGCAGCGGGAAGCTGCGGGGATAAGAGAAACAGAAGTTTGGAAGTGGAGTGAGAGAAATGGGAATGTTGGCAGACAGAAGTAAAATGGGAGAAATAGGAATGCCCGGAGATAGAGAAATAGAGAAATAGAAAGGCCTCCCTACAATACAACAATTAGAAGGCTTGGATTCGGTCTGCCCGATTAGTGAGGCGATGAGCACCTGGGCGGCTAGCAGCTTATGCGCCGCAGGTCACCGAAGACAGGCACGAATTAACATCAGTAAGGCCTCCCCACAAAAAGGCAATGAGAAGGCTTGAATTCGGTTTGCCTGATAGGGCTTGTAAGCCCCTGCAGGCTCGACCAGAGCATGCGCTGCAGGGCACCGAACACAGGCACGCATCAGCGCCTAAAAACCTCCTCACAACATGGCGAAGAGAGGACCCGGATTCGGTTTGCCTGATTATAGGACTTGTAAGAACCTGTGGCAACTCTAGCAAGCAGAGCAGAGTGTGTGCCGCGGGGCACCGAAGACAGGCGCGTATCAACGCCAAAAATAAAAAGAAAGGGGGATCTGTGGGGAGCAAACCGGACTAGACTGAGTTACTGGAATTAAGACTTATTCTATGCATCTGCTCTCCCACAATATGGCGCTGGGAGAGAAGTAAACAGCTTCCGCACAGCTGCCTCCAGTTCAACTAATAAACTGTAGGACTTGCTATTGATTGGAGGAGAGCAGCGTACTCGGCGTGTGGGCAGCCGAGTTAGGATTGGCGGAGGAGGACTATAAAGGAGGAGAGAGACGGCATGCACCAGGAACATCTATGGGGAACATCTAAGGGGAACATCTAGCTGAAGGAACACCTGTGCAGCCCCCGAGACGAGCCGGCCGGCGGTGTGCCGCTCCCCTGCGGAAGTGGGGAATGTGGCCAGGGGGAACTGCCCTTCCACGGAGGTGGAAGGGATAGTAGCCAACCCGGGAAGAACCAGCAGCAAACCCGGGGAGGGCCGAGCAGACGAAAGAACAGCGCAGGGTCCTGTGTCATTCCTCCATGAAGACGGGGAGCGACAGCCAGCTCTTCCCCGCCAGGAAGATCTTCCATCCACTGGTTCACTCCCCAGATGCCCATAACAGCCAGGGCCAGACCAAGGCCAAAGCCAATGGCTCAGCACTCCATCCGGGTCTCCCAGGTACAGGTGCCAGGAACCTGAGGACTTGGGCGATCCTCAGCTACCTCCCAGGCACCTTAGCAGGAAGCTGGGCAGGAAGTGTGGAGCAGCGGGGGCCTGAAACAGGCACTCAGGTCTGGGATGTGGGCTTCCCTAGCGGAGCGTAACCTGCTGTGCCACGATGCCTCCCGCTCCCCCACCCCCGCTGCCCACTCAATGTGATTTTGATTGATGGCATTTTCAACGCATGCTATGTTCGTGAGGACGCAGCTCCATTGTGAGCCAACGGGGGCATGTGCACTCCTTGGGAAGCCCGAGACTAAAGATCCCACTCGTTGGGCACCCTGGTTAGGGTCTGAGGGCTCAAAGACTCGCACACTCTCAACCAGGCACCTGCTCTGGTCTGTGGGACAAGCCCTTCCTCTCTGTCCCTGACAGAAGGCCCTTATGCTGCCTAGAACCTGCCTGTCTGTGAGGAGGACCCTGGACCCTGAGAGTTTGGGAGATGACCGTCTGGACAATCTGTGAACCGGAATTAAAACAGACTCTGGTGACTCGCGAACCCCTAGTCCTCAGCTCTGCTGGGAGTCAGGGGCTGGGTGGTAAACTGTGCCATTCTAGAGTTTTCCATGGAGAAAATCCTCAGCCCCGGGGTTGGAGACCTTGCGTGTCCAGGGCCCTCCAAGGCTGCAGCCCAGGGGCCCGGGGGAAGAGGAGCTATGATTCCCCCACGGTCCTGGAACTTGAGCATGCAGACTCTCAAGAATGGACCCAGGGGCCGGTGCTGTGGCGGAGTGGGTAAAGCTGCCACCTGCAGTGCCGGCATCCCATATGGGCGCTGGTTCAAGTCCCAGCTGCTCCATGTCCAATCTGGCTCTCTACTATGGCCTAGGAAAGCAGTAGAAGATGGCCCAAGTCCTTGGGCCTCTGTACCTGCATGGGAGACCTGGAAGAAGCTCCTGGCTCCTGGTTTTGTATCAGCTCAGCTCCGGCCATTGCGGCCATCTGGGGAGTGAACCAGTGGATGGAAGACCTCTCTCTCTTTCTGCCTCTGCCTCTCTTGACTCCGCCTTTCAAATAAATTCATTCATTAAAAAAAATAATGGAGCCGGATCTCAGTGAGGGCCCCAGCCTCTGAGTCCAAGGATGTGGGACAGCTCACACGTTGGGCACAGAGAAAGTGCCAGCCAGGAGGGGCCTGGCTCCAGCGAGCTCTCCCGCCAGGTCGTGTGATGCCACCTGGGGACCTCAGATTGTGGGCGTTGGTTCTCAGCACTGCAATCTTAAGACTGTGACCTCTCGGGAAGCTGCTCTTCCCAAACAGTATCTGGAGCTCAGAGCGCACATGTCCAGGACCACAGGTGCTGTGAGTGCTGTGGCAGGCCGGGGAGTGTTAATGGCCTAGGATGCATGGGTTTGTAGAGTGAGTGGTCCCTGGAGGTTTGAGTCCTGAGAAATTCAGAGAGGATGAGCCAAAGGGAAGTCCTAGAAGCAAATAATGCAAGGAGCATTGCATCAGATGTTTTGAAATAATCTTGGGCCAAAATGACTAATCACCACGGTGACATCATTGAGAAGTGGGACAGACAGTACTGGGTACGTGTCTTCTCGTATGCTTTTTACAGATTTATTTGCTCTTATTTGAAAGGCAGCGTTACAGACAGGAGAACAAGAGCGAGAGCGAGAGTGAAAGAATCTCCTATCTCAATGGCTGCAATGGCCAGGGCTGGGCCAGGCTGAAGCCAGGAGCCTGGCGCTCCATCCGGGTCTCCACATGACCGACAGGGATCCAAGCACTGCGGCCCTGCACCCACATGAGAGACCCGGATGAAGCTCCTGCATCCTGGCTTTGGCCTGCCCCAGCCCCGGCCTTTGCAGCCATCCGAGGCAAACGCCAGCCCCATAGATCCTCCGGTCGAGGGCAGTGCGGCCTCCACCCCGGCCTGTGCTCCCGGCAGAGGCCTCCGCGGCAGTTGCTACCGGGGATCCTGCGCAGGAAATTCCTTCACAACCTCCCTGCTTTATCTGCTGTCTTCTTAGGGTTGACCGAAGCGACTCCATTTTGATTCAAACCCGCCCCAGCTCAGTCTTCTAGAAAGCCCCGCCCCCAGGAGCCACTCAGCCTGCGTGGGAGGGTCCCAGAGGCCCCACCAAAGGCTCAGGCTGCCCCTCCCTGTGAACCCCAACTTCTGTCCCATGCAGGAGGTGCAGAGGAGACTCCAAGAGCACGGCCACAGCCAGAGCCCTCGGCCCTTCTTCCTGAACGTGGTCCAGGCCGTGTGGCAGGAGGGGGCCTGTGTGCACGCTGCGTCGGACCCCAGGAAGGCCGGGGAGGCTGCCGGCTACTGAGGAGACCACGGGCCGGGAGCCGGGCCTGGCCACCGGACCGAGTGCTGCGGCAGGGAGCCAGCGGACCCAGCCTGCCAGATGGACGCCGGCAGGGGCGGAGCCTCTGCCTTGGCCCCGCCCTCATCGAGGCCCCGCCCCAGCCCCTTGCCTGTCCTCGCAAGTGGTATATCCTGAACTCAAGGATTAAAGAGGGGGCCGTCGAGGGGGATCGGCACCGTGGCTTACTAGGTTAATCCTCCGCCTGCAGCACCGGCATCCCATATGGGCGCCGGGTTCTAGTCCCGGTTGCTCCTCTTCCAGTCCAGCTCTCTGCTGGGGCAGGAGGGCGGTGGAGGATGGCCAGGGTGGTGGAGGATGGTCAAAGTGCTTGGGCCCCTGCACCCGCGTGGGAGACTGGGAGGGGGCACCTGGCTCCTAGCCATCCAGGAGCGGCCATTTGGGGCGTGAACCAATGGAGAGAGTACCTTTCTCTCTCTCTCACTCACTATCTAAGTCTGTCAAATAAAAATAAATGAAGAGGGGGCTGATTTGTGGCGCTGAGTATGGGCTGGGGCTAGGGCTGAGGGTGAGGGTGAGGGGTGAGGGTGAGGGTGAGGGGTGGAGAGCTCCTGAGGACAGATTCCTGTGATCTCCACGATGCATCACCACGATGCACCCTCATGGAGGGAGAAACTGAGGCTCAGAGACATCCAGGCCGCACCCAGATCCCCCTGGACAGCAATAAGCACTCCTAACACCACCCCACCACCAGCGATAGGGCCTGGGGCACCTGCCTCTGACTGCCCCCAGGACCCAGGCCCCTCCGTCCGTGCCAGGAAAAGCAGGACAGAGCCAGACCTGGGGCTCTCCCCGCCCCAACAGTTCATGTCTGAGAGTCCGGACCTTCTCAGTTCCGCACTGCTGGCACCCTGGGTGAGAAGTCACTGTCCCCACAGTGCAGCCACACCCAGTGTGGCAGCAGAGAGAACCAGCCCCGCCCCCAACACCACCCCAACCCGGGGAGGGGGGAGGGGGGAGTGCTGCTTGAGACCAAGCCCCCTAGCGGCTGCCACCTGCGAGGGGACCTGGACCCTCCTCAGGCTGGGCGCACAGGCACTTCTGTCACAGTGGTGTTTGCTTGTCCCTGCTGCTGGAGTGAAAGTGCCAATGAGCAGGTAGCCGATGGAATTTTTTTTTTTTTGCATTTTTTAAAGATTTATTTATATACTTGAAAGTTCAGAGTTACAGAGAGGCAGAGGCAGAGAGAATGTATCTTCCATCTGCTGGTTCCCTCCCCAAATGGCTACAAGCCAGGAGCCAGGAGCTTCCTCTGGGTCTCCCACACAGGTGCCAGGGCCCAAGGACCTGGATCATCTTCTACTGCTTTCCCAGGCCATCAGCAGAGAGCTGGATTGGAAGTGGAGCAGCCGGAACTTGAAACTGGCACCCATATGGGATGCTGGCATCACAGGCGGCAGCTTCACCTGCTACGCCACAGCACTGGCCCCTAATGGAATTTTACAGAAGTTTATCACTCAAACTTCTGGAGGCTTCAAGTTCAAGATCAGGGTGCCAGCAGGTTTGGTGTCTGGTGAGGGCCCTGTTTGCTTTTTTCTTAAAGATTTATTTATTTATTTATTTGAAAGTCAGAGTTACAGAGAAAGAGAGAGAGAGATTTTTCCGTCTGCTTGTTTAGTCCTCAAATGGCTGCAACAGCCAGGGCTGGGTCAGGCAAAAGCCAGGAGCCAGGAGCTTTTTCTGGGTCTCCCACGTGGGACTTGGGCCATCTGCTGCTGCTTTCCCAGGTGCATCAGCGGGGAGCTGGGTGGGAAGTGGAGCAGCCGGGTCTGGATGATGCATGAGGGATGATCCATGAGGGATGCCAGCATCGCAGGCAGTGGCTTTACCCACCCAGCCACAGCGCCAGATTCAGAGCAGATCACACATGTTCAGATGGTCACAGGGCTCCCCCCACCCCCAATCTCGATGAACTAAGGGCATGCGCCACTCACTAAGCCACTACCGCCTGCCCTCCTGAGAGTTCAGCCAAGCAGGACCTGATAGCTCCCAAGGCCACAACATCATGGTTCATTACAACCGAGGGGAGGCATTTGTGCTTGGCTGCCTGCATCCCGCATCAGAGTGCCTGGGTTCGAGTCCTGGCTCTGCTTCCACCATCTGTTTCCTGCTCATGAGCACCCTGGAAAGCAGCAGATGATGGCTCAAGTCCTTGGGGGCCCTGCCACCCACACGGGAGAGACCTGGATGGCGTTCCTGGCTCCTGGCTTTGGTCTGTCCCAGCCTTGGCTGTTGGCAAGTATTTGGAGAGTGAACCAACAGATGGGACATCTCTGGCTGGCTGGCTGCATTTCCAACAAAATAAATAATGACTGCAATGGCCAGAGGGCCACAGTGGAGGAACCAGGAACTCCATCCAGGTCTCCCGTATGGGTGGCGGGAGCCTGAGTGCTGGAGCCATCGTCTGCCACCCACGGTCTGCATTAGCAGGAAGCTGGGGGCAGGATCTTGTGCTGAGAACTGAACCTGCTAGGTAGGAAGTTAGAAGCTCGCCTGTGTGTGGAAGAGGGGCCCAAGAAAACAAAGCACCATGGGAAAGAAAGCCTTTAGCAGTCCCAGAAACCACCCCGGATTTTACCTGGCGAAGTCCTGCTCAGACCCCGATAACTTTCCAGAAGGTTCCAGCCATCTCCAGGGGAATCCCCTCTGCCCAGCACCCGGGGGCTGCCCAGTCTGATAACTCTGGGGAATAAACCCCTGGGAGGGATTTTACCTGTTTCGTACCCAGTTCAGAAGGGGGGAGCTGGTGGCGTGGTGCACTAGGTTAATCCTCTGCCTGCAGCTCCGCCATCCCATATGGGTGCCGGTTCTAGTCCCAGTTGCTTCTCTTCCAGTCCAGCTCTCTGCTGTGGCCTGGAAAAGCAGTAGAAGATGGTCCAAGTCCTTGGGCCCCTGCACCTGCGTGGGAGAGCAGGAAGAAGCGCCTGGCTCCTGGCTTCAGATCGGTGTAGCTCTGGCTGTTGTGGCCATTTGGGGGAGTGAACCAGCGGAGGGAAGACCTTTCTCTCTGTCTCTCTCACTGCCTGTAACTCTACCTGTCAAATAAATAAATAAAATCTTTTTTTTTTTTTTTGACAGGCAGAGTGGACAGTGAGAGAGAGAGAGACAGAGAGAAAGGTCTTCCTTTTGCCGTTGGTTCACCCTCCATTGGCTGCCACGGCCGGTGTGCTGCGGCCGGCGCACCGCGCTGATCCGAAGGCAGGAGCCAGGTACTTATCCTGGTCTCCCATGGGGTGCAGGGCCCAAGCACTTGGGCCATCCTCCACTGCACTCCCTGGCCACAGCAGAGAGCTGGCCTGGAAGAGGGGCAACCGGGACAGAACTAGTGCCCCAACCGGGACTAGAACCCAGTGTGCCGGCACCGCAAGGCGGAGGATTAGCCTAGTGAGCCACGGCGCCGGCCAATAAATAAAATCTTAAAAAAAAAAAAAAGAGGGTAGGGGGAAGGAGGAGTGGGAAGAACTGGGTCCTGTTCCCTTATAAGCCCCAGTCTGAATGGCAGGTGCATTCTCTCCATTAAACCCCGTAGCCTTGTTCTCCCCAGGCTGCGTGCCTGGGGCACCCTCTCTCCGATTGTGTCCCTGTCTGTTCTGATGGATGCCCCACCCCATTAAACCTGGCTACCTTGCTGACCACCACTCTCCGTCTCATGTCTGAATTCTCTCGTGAGAACAAGAACCTATTCTGGAGCCGATGCTGAGACAAAGTGGGTTAAGCTGACGCCTGTGATGTTGGCATCCCATGCGGGTACAGTTCAGGTCCAGGCTGCTCCACTTCTGACCCAGCTCCCTGCTAATGCACCTGGGAAAGCAGCAGCAGAAGATGGCCCAAGGCCTTGGGCCCCTGCACTCACATGGGAGACCTAGATGAACCTCCTGGCTCCTGGCTTTGGATCGGTGCAGCCCTGGCCATTGCTGGAGTTCACTGGCATGAACCTGCGGATGGAAGACCTCTGTCTTGGTCTCTCTTTCTCTGTCTCTGTAACTGTGTCTTTCAAATAAATAAGATAAATCTTAAAAAACAACAACAACAAACTAGCTAGGGCTGGGCCAGGCTGAACCCAGGAGCCAGGAACTCCATCCGGGTCTCCCATGTAGGCAGCAGGAATCCAAGTACCTCAGCCATCAACTTCTGCCTCCAAGAGTCTGCACACATAGGAATCTGGAATAGGGAGCTGGAAGGGGGTATGGCACCGGGCACACAGCTGTCGGATCTCCAGGCCAACAGTCTCCCGACCACAGTGGCCAGGCGCCCTCTTCTGCGCCTCCCAGTTTTGTGAATGGATCTCTAGGGTTTGTGAATGGATCCCTAGTGGCTGTGTTTTGATTCTGACAAAAGTTCTAGGCCCAGTGGCCAATCTTGGGGTTGTTGTCCAATCCAGAGGCCACTCAGTGACCACCAGTGTGCTGCCTCCCCCAGCGCCTCTGCACTCAACATCCCAGCACACCCACCATAAAGGCGTCCTCATTCCGGAGATCAATAAACAAACCAGACTTAAAAAGAAGTGATAGTGGTGTAGGATAAGGCAGGTAAGAGGTTAGGTCAGGAGTTGGAAGCCACACCTCCACCCAACCCGTCAGTCAAATGATCCCTCCCCCAGCATGTACCCTGGGGGCGGGGGACCACGTAACCACAGCCCTTTTCAAGCCTTAAGAAGCCGGGCGACAGCCAGGGGGCGCTCTGTCTTCCCGTGGACTCACAGGAAGCCTGAAATTCTCTCTCTCTCTCTCTCAGCACTAATGCCCACGTCGGTGTGCTTTCCTCACCTTTCAAGTAGCCTTTATCGCTTGGTATGTTGTGTTTCTGCCTGCACTTAATACTTAGAATGCTTTTAATTCTGAGTAAGAGGCAAGAGCCTGGAATAGGGATTTCGACTCTGCCTCGCTCACAATAATCGAGGTGCAGCGGGTTAAGCTGCTAGCTTCCTGTAGGATCGCTGGTTCAAGTCCCGGCTGTTCTGCTTCGGATCCAGCTCCCTTCTAATAACACCTGGGAAAGCAGCAGGAGATGGCCAAGTATGTGGGCCCCACACCCATGTAGGAGACCCGGGTGGAGTTCCAGGCTCCTGGCTTCAGCCCAGCCCTGTCCTGGTCATTGCAGACATCTGGGGAGTGAAACCAGTAGATAGAAGATTCTTTCTCTCTATCTCCTTGACTCTGCCTTTTAAACAAATCAATCTAAAAATATCAATGAATAAATAGAAATAAATGACAAACATACAGCAATTGAAATCGCAGATGTTGGTGGGTGTTTGACACAGGAGCTAAGATGCCTCTCGGGACCCTTTTTTCAGGTTTTTTCTTTTCTCTCTCTCTCCCTCTTTTTTTTTTTTTTTTTTTTTTGACAGGCAGAGTGGACAGTGAGAGAGAGAGAGACAGAGAGAAAGGTCTTCCTTTGGTTCATTTCCCAGTGGCCGCTGTGGCTGGTGCGCTGCTGCCGGTGCACTGCGCTGATCTGAGGCCAGGAGCCAGGTATTTCTCCCGGTCTCCCATGTGGGTGCAGGGCCTAAGGACTTGGGCCATCCTCCACTGCCTTCCCAGGCCATAGCAGAGGGCTGGCCTGGAAGAGGAGCAACCGGGATAGAACTAGTGCCCCAACCGGGACTAGAACCTGGGGTGCAGGCAGAGGATTAGCCTATTGAGCCACGGCGCCGGCCTTTTTTCAGGTTTTTTCAATGGTCTTTTGGTCTAGCAGCATAGCCCAGGGCCTGTGTTCGAGTCCTGACTCCATTTCCTATCCCAGCTTCCTGCTAACGTGCAGCTGGGTCCCTGCCATCCACCTGGGAGACTCCCGGTCGAGTTCCAGGCTCCCAGCTTTGGCCTGGGCCAGCCCTGTGGTAGGCATCTGGGGTGTGGAACGAGCAGATAGGAGCTCCCTGTCTTATCTCTCCGCTCTTCATCACATGACTAAGCCTAAAACCTAAGAAATACATCACCTGCAATAAAAATCTAGGAAGAGGTTTTTAAAAAGTGAGCATTTCATTTTAAAACCTGAAGGTGAAAACAGTAGGAAATGATGAATTATTGGGGCGCAGTGGCTCCCACACTCCATATGAGCACCAGTTTGAGTTCTGGCTGTTCCATCTGTCACTTCGCCCCCAAAGGGTTGCAACAGCCAGGTCTGGGCCAGACTGGAGCTAGGAGCCAGGAACTCCACCCTGGTCTCCCACATGGGTGCAGGGGCCCAAGCACTTGGGCCATCTTCTGCTGCTTTCCCAGGTGCCTTAGCAGGGAGCTGGATCGGAAGTGGAGCAGCTGGGACCTGAACCAGTGCCTGTGTGGAATGCCAGCGCTGCAGGCGACTATGCCACAGCTCCGGCCCCTACACAACAAAGTCGCCTCCTTCCTGTTTAATATCCTGGTTTGTGTGTGTGTGTGTGGGTGGGGGTGGGGAGTCCCTGTCCTTTCTCTGGGGGAAGCTTAGGGGAATCTCAGCTGCCCTGCCCCAAGTATGTTATGAGATACACCAGGAATTTTAGGAATTCCACACCCAGGAGGCCCTCCACCCACGGAGGCAGCCCAGACTGGGAGGAGGGAGGAGACAACGAGGGAGGACTAATACCCAGGTGCATAAACACTCCAGTCTGGATGCAGGACGCCATATTTGAGTGGGGTTCGAGTCCCGGCTGCTCCCCTCCCAATCCAGCTCCCTGTTAAGGTGCAAAGACCACGAACCTGTATTTTAAAGAGCTTAATTGGCTTCCTTGCAAGCCTAGAACCCAGAAAACACTTGGTTCCATGACATAGCAAGGGGAAGGGCTGAAGCAAGCCGCCACCCACTCACAATGTGTGTGTGTGTGTTGGGGGGGTACTTCCTTCCAAATCTGCTTTCCTGGTAAGATGCCGCAGACCAAGCCACAGAAGGCAACTGTCCGTTTGCACCGGAGCATTGTGGGTAACCCTTGGGCAAGGATTAGGGCAGAGGGGCTTTATCTGGCTGCTCCGAAGCTCTGATAAACAGCTTGGTTATCTCCTGTGTGGTGAGCTGGAACTTAGTGCAAGTGACTCCATTTTGATTTTCACCCTGGCAGATGCAGGAAATTGGTCTGCAACAGTGGTCCCCTGTCATATTTATTATTTATTATTTTTTTTTTGACAGGCAGAGTGGACAGTGAGAGAGAGAGACAGAGAGAAAGGTCTTCCTTTGCCGTTGGTTCACCCTCCAATGGCTGCCGCGGCCAGCGCACTGCAGCCGGCGCACCACACTGATCCGAAGGCAGGAGCCAGGTACTTATCCTGGTCTCCCATGGGGTGCAGGGCCCAAGTACTTGGGCCATCCTCCACTGCACTCCCTGGCCACAGCAGAGAGCTGGCCTGGAAGAGGGGCAACCGGGACAGAATCCCGGTGCCCCGACTGGACTAGAACCCGGTGTGCTGGCGCCACAAGGCGGAGGATTAGCCTAGTGAGCCGCAGTGCTGGCCTATTTATTTATTTTTAAAAATATTTGTATATTCATTTGGAATGCTGAGAGAGAGAGGAGAGAGAGAGAGATCTTCCATCTGCTAGTTCTCCAACAGCTGGGGCTGGCCAGGCTCAAGCTAGGAGCCGGGAACTCCATCCTGGTCTCCCATGTGGACACAGGGGTCCAGGTACTGGGGGCATCCTTGGCTGCTCTCCCAGGTGCTTCAACAGTGAGCTGGGTGGGAAGTGGAGCAGCCAGAACCGGAACCAGTAGTGCTCACATGGGATGCTGGCGTCCCAGGTGGCAGCTTCACCCGCTGCACCACAGCGCTGGCCTCACTCCCTGCCATTTTTATTTAACAAAGACCTGGGTTTTCTTCACCAAGGACAGCGGTGGTTTAAAGAAGCGAGAGCGAGAGAGCCCACTGGAAAGCCCACCAACTGGGGACTCATTCAGCAAACAGCTTCTTAGCTGGTTGAGTTTTTTTTTTTTTTTTTAATAAACATGCACACAAGATTATTAACACGGTGAAAGAGATGTGACAGCTGTCACAATCCAAATGTCACCCATGTGAGCTCTGACAAAAATACTAAGTAAGGTGCAGGCATTTGGTGCACGGGCTAAGTTCCCCCTGGAACACCCAGAGGCCCGTAGCAGAGTGCCTGGGTTCCAGTCCCAGCTCCTCCACTTCCCATCCGCCTTCCTGCTAATGTGCACCCGGGGGGGCAGCAGGTGATGGGTTAAGTACTCCTGGCTCTGCCACCCAGGTGGGGGACCAGGATGGTGCTTCCTCCTGGTCTCCCATGGGGTGCAGGGCCCAAGCACTTGGGCCATCCTCCACTGCACTCCCTGGCCACAACAGAGAGCTGGCCTGGAAGAGGGGCAACCAGGACAGAATCCGGCGCCCCGAACAGGACTAGAACCCGGTGTGCCGGCGCCGCAGGCGAGGATTAGCCCAATGAGCTGTGGCACCAGCAAGAAGAAATCTTCAAAATAAAAGTTCCTCTACAGGACATCTGCTTAGTAAGTGTTTGTCCAACCCCAGATAACAGCGTTGCAAAACATCTGATGTCATCTTCCTCATTTTTGCTTTTCAAATCGTCCCTTGTCTCAATGCTGCCATGGCTTGCTTTTTTTTTTTTTTTTTAAAGATTTATTTATTTATTTGAGAAGCAGAGTTACAGAGAGAGGTAGAGACAGAGAGAGGTCTTCGATCCGCTGGTTCACTCCCCAGATGGTCACAAGGGCCGGAGCTGCGCCAATCCGAAACCAGGAGCCAGGAGCTTCTTCTGGGTCTCCCATACATGTGTAGGGGCCCAAGGATTTGGGCCATCTTCTGCTGCTTTTGCATAGCAGAGAGCCAGATCGGAAGAGGAGCAGCTGGGACTTGAAT